TATTCGTCCATTCGTCTGCTTATTTATTCTTTTCTTCGTTTTTTGTTTAATTTCCTGATAGATGAGAGTTTGGTATGGACCGGATATAAGATATTCATTCAATCGCCTCACGGGATAGAATGCGATATGGTTCCTAAGGTGAGATAAAGCACAGGTAAGAAATGGAGTGAATAACTGTTAAGTAAACAGTTACAATCAGCCAACTCATCAGTCAGTTGTGTCCCCCAGAAGATATATATCACAACTTTTCTGAGCAGTTGTCGCTCCCGATACACTGTACAGATATGCACTTCTAACCCACAGTGAAGTGTTCTTTCCACGTTATTCAAATATTGTTCAATAACAAACGTACACTTTGTTTTCAGAATGTCACTCACCACAGCATATAGAGAGGGCTCCAGGTTGTACGTTATGGTGAGTTTTACTGTTGAAATAATCGGTGCGCCCAAATTGATACGGCTTTCCATAATTTTATGTAAACTATGTGTATTGCTCTTAAAGTTATCTTACGAAGTATTTCCCGTTGAACCGTTAAGCCAGGAGTGGGAGAAACGAGCTCTCAGCAGGACTCGCGCAAAGGCATAGAGCGAGAGGGAATTAATTCCCAACCCCTTCGTCTGCTTTCAGTCGTTTTGCTCTCTCGAATCCAAAACCTCCGCCAGACTCCCGCGGAGGATAAAGGAAGATGAAGGAAGAGAAAACGTGGAGACCTTNTCATGGACAGTGCGAACTCGACCCCTCCTCTTCAGGAACATTTCATCAGAGGTAATGTATCTTTTTACCAAGATGTTTTTTTTCAGCTGATTCAATGCAGTAATTTCAATTAGAATCAGTGGTGGGGTTCACAGAATGCATAGTTTTATCGTGTGTACGGGTCGATGAATGAATAGAGGTAAACGCGCGCATCGTCGTATGTAAATTGATGATTTCTGCTTGAATAAAGTTTTTCGTTTCTTCAGTTTATGAGCCGTAACGAACAACTGAATAACCTCGTTCTTTCGCTACAAGAAAATATCTCAAACCTCGGCCTAGCCCTATTGACCTCGCTATCGCTTGTTCAATACAGCAAGGCTTTAGTTTGAAATTTTCCCGTAATGACCTCACTCTCGGTTATCAAAATAATCGAGAGTGAGGTCGTTACTTAAAAGTAGGTAATACTAGCTTATGAACTTTTTCGCAAATTAACAACAACCCTTACACATCAGAGAGGTAGGCTATATGATAAAATAAAATCTTGCCGATGGACTTGGCGTTCTCTACTTTTATTTGGTTGTGTCTTCTCCACATTTAGAAAATCTGAGAAACTATATCGGTTCTAATCATGAACTAGGCAAGTAGTCATCTTTGTCAGTTTTTGGTAGTCAACATTGTTTTTATTTTGTTTAATAAATAATAGAGTCTTTATTCCATCATAAGATAAAACTACATATCTTAAGTTACAATGAATTCGGAAAAACTACAACAGAAATCTACAAACATATTATGAATTAAAAAGTATGTCATTACAATAAATGGAGCTTAAATATCAACATATTTACAAAGGTGTTCAGAAAGCGCTGTGTATTGATTTTCGGGCGTGCGTAATTGTCGATATCATCGTCAGCATTTTATTATTTTAATCGAAGGAATAAGTTTATTATCCCTAAGAGCTTCTTTTAAAGGAATAAACAAACAGCCACGTTAACGCATTAGTGTGGTGAAGAGAGTGAAAGAAATAAAAGGGGGACAGCTATAGAGACAGATTCCTATCGTATCGCCTTTCTTTTTCTTATTTTTGTAGTGTAAAGATATGGTGAGAAAATATTCCTATTGCGATCATCATCTTCGTGGTGTTTTTCGGTAACGAAAAGAGCTTTAGAGTTAAAGGTTTCTCAACTTTATTGCCGTTTAACAGTCTGTAAGTCTGATCTTTTAGGTATTTGTTGCCTCAGGCAACAAAAGTAAACGTTTCGGGCGACTTGACTCCGGTATCGGGCGACATGACCTCGGGCGACTTGACCGGTTACCTACCTCAGAAAACAAATTTTTCGCAATGTAACCCGAATTTTCTTTATTTGCATGAAACAAAAAATTTACTTTAATTTCTTGAACACCCTTCTGCATTGACTATTTCCCTCTGCGACAACAGCCGATATTATTCCAGTAGTTAGCTTACATAGCAACTTTCGAACTCTTCAGCTTGTGATCACTTTTGCAGTATTCAATTGTTGTGAAACATTGTGAGTTTGTGATATTAAAGATATTTAGTTACATCTTTAGAGATCGACTTCCTTTTGCATTTTATATGAGAGGCGGAATCGATGATTACATCACCATTAACAAAATTTTGCTTCTTTATTGTAGATAAGAAACACAGACTCCATATTGCTGTGGGTTCGAGAAGACGCAAGATGCGGTATAAGAACATCAATAATACACTCCGCTGCGCCTCGAGTGCCAGTTTTGTCTCCTTCCTACATTTTGAAGTCAAGCGTTGGATGTTGTCCTTGAGTAGCATAGTGTTATAAAGTCAGACGTGTAACTCCAGTGAGGCCAGGTATGCTACGATAATTTAGTTTTCCGAGCTTTCGCCGATCTCATGGCATCATCAGGAAATATAGATGGAATCTTCGAAGTGAAGAGTATATCGGGTGAGGTGCTAGGCTAGAAAATAGAGGTTCAACAGACAACAGAATAGGAAAATGGCAGTTAAGTAAATGCAGTAGAAATAGTTGGAACAAAAAGTCTCTTCAGAAAATAGTATAAATATGAAGTCATTTGTGATCTAGTGGTGAACAGACCCATGGTAACATGGAACCTATATGTTACGAGGTAAATATTTATTGAGTTTTACCGACACTGAGGTGGGTAATTGTTAAAAAACCGTGATTTATTTCACTGAGGTGGTAGATTCGTTTTACTTCCAAAATATTTTTGCTCCATGATGTGTTTTTCTTTTTTCGAAAAGTTGCATGGTTCGAGAGCCCTATAGATGTGGCTTTAAACCAGGTTTGTATTAGGCAAGCGAATATAAAAATATTCAGATAGTAGCCTGTGCCAAGTTCTTAGTCAGTGGAGTTAAGCAGAAGCCCTTATCGTTATTTTCTCAGTTCGTCTTACTTTTGTCCTCGTTCCCTCAAAATGATCACCTAGAACAAGTTCTTGCACTCACATAATTTCAATATAT